CGCCCCAGAACTCTCTCTCTCTCTCTCTCTCTCTCTCTCTCTCCATAGCTTTTACCACCAAACCCAAACCCAACAGCCACGCCTCCCCAAACCACAAACCGTGGAGCTGCTCCTTGCCGATTCAAACTCCAACGTTGACGTCGCATACCACCGGGACAAGGGGTCTTCAACTTCCAAGCCCAAGGGCTCGCGCCGTCCACCACCAGCTACCGAAATTTCGCCGACGAGGAAGCTGGAAAATCTCCAGCCACTGCCATCCTCGAAAATATCCAGGAGTTGCCATTCACTCGATGCCGAAAGCTGACGACGAAGCACCGGAGAAAATGGAGGTCGCGACCAAGCTAGATCGAGGGCTTTCCCGATGTTTTCTTATGAAAATTCAAAACAGAAGAGTGCCTAATAAGACAAGTTATTTACAATTAGTGGAGAATTTCTTCAATGAAATTAAACCCATATGCTGGATTGTGGCAAATTGCCATGGAAAAGTAGGTGAACCCTCAGCTGTAGATTCCGAAATTGCTCCTAAACTAGTTCCCTACCAACCAAAGATATGTTTCTGCTGTTTGAGAATTATTCTCTTTCTAGGCAAAGTTGATTGTGCGATGGTGGTTTAATTTTGAGGTATTGGAATCTTATGAGGAGGGAGAAAGAGAGTTGGGTTTGGGGGTCGTCGATAGGAGTGGGGCGGCTGAGATGTGGGGTTGAGTTGGGAGGGAGAGAGGTTGGCTGGGTAGGAGAAGAGAGTGGAGATTTTATTTTATTTTATTTTATTTTATTTTTCATTTTTAATGATTTTAATATTATTTAAAAATTATTTTTAACATGTATATAATTTTTTATTATTTATTTGTTCACCTGTAAGTCCACGTCAATTAAAAAATAGGTCTCATAAATGCCACATAGGTAGATAACGGATTTTTTTACGATCTCGCTAACGGAGGGGGCAAATTGTAGGTTTTCCACGACGTTGAGTATGTACTCGTAAATGACCAAAATCGGGTATAAACTAGTAAATGAACCTATAGGTGGGGAGTTTACTGTAGTTTACCCAAAAATAACCTTCAAAATTTAATTGCATGTGTTGTGCCCCTTTGATTCAGACTCTAATACCTTTGTAAGAGCATCCACCATAGGCTTCCTAAACCACCTCTTTAAACAAATTTTAAGAAGTATTTGAAAAAGTACAACTTCAACCATGCTCCCTATTCATACCTCCTAAGACCATCTCCAGTCATATGACTAAATGTAGTCCAATGCTATAAATTTAGCCCTCTAAAATATTAATTTTTTAAAGAATTGTGTAGGGTTAAATTTTTTCATCTCCAACCATGCACAACTATATTTTAGGGGCATTCATATTTTATTATTTTGAGAAAAACTATGGTACAACTAGGGGTGGCATTTTAAACCGAAAAACCGAAAAATCGCA